CCCAAAGCCGTTCAACCCTCGGCGGAAGCTGCTTCCGCCGAGGATCCACACCTATGACACCGTGGAGCTCAGAAAGCTCCTGGAGCGCACGCTGGAGGTTGGGCCTTGGACCCGCAGATGCAGCCCGTGGCATCCGGCCTCGATGGCTTTTGAGCGCAGGCCTTGGACTCCGAGATCCTCAAGAGCCGCCGACTTACGCGAGACACTGGGAACAAAAAGAAAACCAGTGGGTTTTTTCCGAACCCCATCCCAACACCAACTCCATCCCAACACCAACTCCATTCCACCCTCAACCCATCCCATCGCACCCCACCCCACCCCCCATCCCCGCCTGAAGGCGCCCATGCCTTCACTGGCTGCTCTGCAGTGCTGGTCCTGGTGCTTGGGGAGCGGATCGTCATGGCAGGAGTGGGGGCCTCCGGAAGCAAACACTGCGAGACGCAACCAGCCTGCAGATTGACATCGTGAGACATGCAGCCGATGGCGCACTCTACCTTGTGATGCTGCTTAGTTCCCAGATTTTGACGTGACTTCTTGACTAGCATACTGGAAGAATCTGACTAGACATGAGCAACGCTTGTTGCTTTTCAAAACACAACGCAGAGTGATTGCAGTACTTTCAATCAAGTGGCCAAAGCGGTAGCTTGCGACTAACAAAACCAAAAGTACTTGCACTAGTAGTACTTGCAGTGCTTACCGCAAAACTTGGCAGCCAAGCTTACTTGAGGTAGTGCTTGCCGTGCAATAGTTTTTGCAAAGGGAACTTGCAGCAACTCTTGCAAGTGTACTTGCATCTATTTGCCACAATGTCGGGAAGCAGCAATTACGTTTGTTTGGTTAACCCTCCACTTCGACTGCTCGAGGGTGGAACCAGTCTCACATTGGACTAGAGGTCAACAACTCACACCAGCTTCGGCCCAAGCGACAGCCAGAGAAACCAACAACCGTCCCTTTGGTGAGACGGTATGTTGGTTTCACACCATTCGCTCCGTATTCAGGCGGTTGTCACGAAAGCAATGCTGGTGGGAGTTCTCTTTCCGTGGCTTCATTTTAGGGGCTGAACTTCCCACGCCTGAATTTTATCAAGGGACGGGGAGCCTGAAAATGCTTGGGCCCAGGGCCCGCACCCCAGCCCCCACGCGCATATACTCATCTCATCCAGATGTTTGCTTGCAGCTGGGGAATCCTTCTCCTTACCCGGTGCAAGTGCTATTCTTTGTAAACCCTTCGCGTTGCCCGCTTCGGCAAGTGTGCTTTTGGCTAGCTTTGCGGTGCGTCTTGGTTTGCCTTGATGTGTGGTGTTTGTTTGAGAGTGAGTCGGCGCTGACATGCGGGATAGAGGGTAGGTGCATGTTCCTGCGTTTCCCCTTACGAGTCACCGAGCGAAGCCTGGGCGCCTGGGGAGGAGCTATGACGAAAACAGCTTGGCTGGGGCTAGGTTTGACGGGTTTCTAGAGGGGAATTTGGGTCTGACCGCTTCCTGGCCCTGGGGGCTGAGGCGATTATCTTGGCAACTCCTCGGTGGAAATGTGATTGTTAACCTACCAGATTTCGTTCAACTAGCGTATACACGACAAACGCGAACCAACACACTTGGACTCCTGAGTGGCTCTTCTGGTTTCTGTCGTGGATTTCCTTCACCTTCTTTGATTCCCGCATCTTCGCGGCGACATTTGTTACATGTCGCGTAGGCTTTTGACTGACAGGGCCACAACCGCGTAGGCGTGCGTAGGCATTTTGCAGAGGCTCGTGTTGCAAAGCTTCGCATAGGCAGTTGCGTAGGCAGTCGCGTAGGCAGTCGCGTCACGTGACATGCTGAGCAGTATTGTTGTGCAAGACATGGTTGTGTGACCGTTTGTGAGTGGCAGTTTGGCGTAAGCTGTTTGCAGCGGCGCAAGCTGGCGGTTGCTGGCGGAGGGAGGAGAAGGTTCGCTTGTCCAGCAGCGCAGCTGGCAACTCGTACTGCAGCACTGCTGCTGGTAGACCAGTAGGCATCTCGTCCGAGATTTGACCGGAGGCGCTTGGGGGCTCACCTCCGTCTCATCCTGTAGCCGAACTCCTCGTTTCTGTGTAGGCGGCGTAGGCAGGTATCCAGTCAGCTCTGTCTCGCGTAGGCGCTTTTGTGGGACTGTTGCGTTTCGCGTAGGCGTGGCGTAGGCGCTGCATAAGCAAGTTAAATTGATAAGGACCCGCGCAACCAAAAGACACTGCTTCTATGTGGTTCTTCATGAGGTCGGACATGTTCGAGTGGTGCTATTGCCCGAGAAGGCCCGGACTGACGGCTCTCACGTGGGACAACTTGAGACACATCCCTGACACAACCGTGTCACGATAGTCAACCATGGTCACTTGAGGATGGTTGATTTGGATCAGCCCCACAAGTGAGATTGCATTTTTTTCGCATGGGTCTCACCCTTCCACCTTCTGAATATATAGTTTCCAGCAGACCAGCATCATGTTCTGGTTGCATATGTTTTAAAGTCCCTTTGCTGGTTTTGGGAAGGAAGCCACATGAAGCCGACCGCAAGTGGAGGGTATTGTGATGAGAGGCAGTTACTGCATCAAGTCAGCACGCCTTGTCAGCCCAAAAACAGCTGATCAGGGCTCCCGAGATCATCGTACTAAATCTCTGAAAAAGTAAGTTGCCAACGCATAATATTGATTTGTGTGCGCTAATCCCCTTGTGAATTGGTCGGCAGGCTGGCTGCTTGAGTGGCTGGAGGGCTGGATGATTGGGTGGCCAGTTGGTTGATTGAGTGGTTGGTTGGTTGGTGGGTGGGTTGCTGGCTAGCTGGCTGGTTGGCTTCGCATCATGTTCTCGCATACTTGGCCAGGGCTCACCTCGTGAGCTTTTAGCTGCTGGCCCAGCATATTTTTTTTCTGCGTCGCTCGACTGGGCAAAGGACTCGCCCAGAACATATGCGATGTCGAATCCAAGGCGTGCACAGGCTCGTTAGATGATGCCTTCGAGATTGAGCCTGCGCCTTGGGGCAAACCGCTGCATGAAGAAAGGGTCCGTGTTTCCCTGAGAGGATTCGTTACGGTGGTTGTTGAGCATTTTGTTGAGGGGCCAATTACCAACGCTGAGATTTTGCCCAAACCACTGGCTGTGGCTCAGGAGAGTGCGCAACGCCAATGGCATCATCCGAGATGGGCGCGGGGCTTGTCTTTCCTTTTGGAAGGCAATCTTTCAAAGATGGATTGAAGTTAGAAGGGGACACACACCATAAATGTCCTCTTAATTCTTTACATCTTTTGGGTAGACCCCTCAAGTGCCAGGTTTCAATCTGTGACTCAAGACTGCATGCTTCGTTTACTTTTTGACCAGCTGCATGATTGATCCGAATGCTTACTACCTAAACCTTGACGTCACGTCAATCGATACCGTGGTTGGTTGTTACCAGGTGATGGACACATGCAGACCTCAGGTTATTAGGGGGGGGGTCCTGCAAAGAGCCCCGAAATTTCCCAAACCTTGTCGACCTTGAAGGGTGGGGGGGAGGGGATTTTCCAGCCAGGGGAAGCCACTACAATGGTGTACATCCAGTACTCTGACAACTACCACCAGCAACGTCCCACCATCACAACTCTCACTGCTGCTACCAGAGCTACTTCCAGTCTTCCCGAATTCCTCCCCTGCCGGTTAACATTGAACCCACTAAAATGAGGTTCCCCAAAAGGAGATTGCTCCAAACATGATGGTTTTTGTGGGACCCTTGTTAATGTGTACGGGGTGGAGAGCAAGCGGCAAACGAGCCAGCATGACGCAAAGGCTGCTGTACGGCATATTGGATGGACTTGACGAGGCAGGCTGCATGGCTTGCCGTCGTGGGTTTAACCACAATGCGGAAGCTTGAAAATTGTGGTGTTCCTTCGAAGCCTTTCCTAATAATGAAACACACGCCCATGTCAGGAGGAAAAGATGTGGTTTTGCATCCACGCAACGCATTCCGCCGTGAAGGCCACACGGATTCTCAACGCGCGGTCCGTCTTTGAGGCACTGATATTCCACCGGCCGTGCGTGAGCCCCATCCTAAAGTCTGCTTTTGTGTAGGTTTCCTTTGCATAGACGTGTTATTCAGGTTACCAACAGCTACGCATGTGCCGACGTGGGACTCACATCAGAATGAGTGGTTCATTGCGGCAATGGCAGGTCTTGCAACTGGATCCAGGGGGACCCCTGGATGAGAAGCAGGCTGGCTTCAACCTCCGTTCAGCTGGCTGTCTTAAAAAGGAATGATGGGAAACCGCTCCTGCGATACTATTTTATTCTAAGGCTGAAGAAAACCAACACACAACCTGATGTGCGACCACCATTTGGACCCATTTGCTTCCTTTTTGATGAGCAAACGTTGAAAGGGAGTTTGAAGGGAACCATTGTCAGGTGCCCTACAAGCTTTCTGTGAAATCGTCACTCGACATGTAGACTGAGGTCAGAATTAACGAGTGCTTTTCATGTGGATAGAAAGACCCGGAGAACACGTTTCCATAGCAACAGAGTGCCCTGGTCAGGTGCGAACTGCTTATCGGAAGCTCGCCCTGCGCCCGGTCCTCGGCTCTGGTACAGAACTGCAAACCGAGCAGTTGGGCGGCTTCGCGGCAGGACCTTGCTCTTGTGGGGCGTCCTCCCAAATCCAGTCGGACGGTTTTCAGGGCTTCCCATGCTTCCCATGATTCCCTTACATCACCAAAAGGAGAGTCACTTTTAGCGCAAGGTGACGGTTGAAAGCAGCAGGGGAGAGAGAGGGAGCCATCCCCTCTCTAGACGTTCTGCTCCGAGACCCCGAGATTGGACACCCTCTAACTCCCTCGCCCGACAGACCTGGATTTGGCTCCAGACAGCTTGGCGTCGATTAGACGATGGACATCTCGCACAGGGAGGTATCCGCATTTGAAGGATGCCACTTCAGTCTGAACAGTGCATTGATCTTCTTATACACAACATTTCCCTAATCACAGTCCAAGAGTTTTACTACAGAGTTTTCATACATACCAGAGCAGTTGACAGCCAGTAATGCCATATTTGGCTCATGCCGACCTGACATTGCCGGCTGTCAAGGCGAGCGGTTCCGCTTTCATCAGGTTGCTTGCGATCCACTCACTACTTTTGCAAGTTGTCCACCCCCCCAATTTCAAAGGCGAGGTCTAGAACATGAATGCTCACAACCCAGATGGTAGAGGACACAGTGAGTTGGGCCCTGCACATGCAAGTCATGGAATCCCGACAATCTTTTTGGCGGCTCAGTGCAATAGTTTTTTGTGTGTCAGCAAGAACTTTGTAGTCAGGTACGCGAAATGCATCAACTCCCTCTCACGGGTTCAACTCTACCCCTGGTCAACCTCGGAAAGGGGGGGGGACCTGGTTTGATAGGAGGGCACTTTCTTTTTTCACCTCAGCTCCTAAATCAGCACTAACCAAACCCTAACCCAACACAGCCTTAAACCAGATGGAAACCCAACCAAATCAACCCTCAACCTACTGTAAATGAGCCCGAAAGCAATTGCTGGCCCGCCCTAAACTCACTCTATTCAACCTTATAGCAACCTGGACCCCGCGCTTAACAAATCTTAAATCCACCCCAAAACTACTCCTGAACCCAATCCTGAACGACCCAAGCATCTTCTTCAGCCGACAAATAGCAACTTGTTTTCTCGCTAAAAAAGAGCTTTTTCTTGCCCCCAGCCCCATGACACAGGGCACTCGAGCCCGGCTCTGCATTAGCATTCACAGGCACTCACCCTAAATCAAAGTACAAATCAGGCAAAAACCTGCGCTAACCCAACCACAGACCCACCCACCCAAAGTGAACTCTGAATGCACCCACAACCAATCCTCAGCATCCTATTCAATCCCAAAAATATGAAACCCGAAGCTCGCCTTCAACCCACACTCCCAGGCAACGGGCCAAGGCCATTGGGAAACAGCAACATACAAACAAAAAAGGAGAAGCAATGATTCGCGTGGTTTTTGCTTTAAAGCTTTGACACGTCAATCCTGTTGAATTGCCAGTGTTGATCTCGTGAAAGTTTGCCTCGTCGCTGCAGTACATCACCTCCACAAGCAACTCCAACCGTACCTAGACACCTTTAGTCACCTTTCATGTTTCCTCCAGGTGACCGAGGACGACGAGGATGAGCTGCGAGCGAGGCCAAGTCATCGGGGGAACCCTGACTGACAGTCATGCATTTTAGGTTCACCTGGGTGTGTGTTTTCTTGAAGATATCTTTTCACCTTTCTTTAAAGAGACACAAAAAGGAACTCGTCGACTTTTAAGGCTTCTCCTATATGGACACATACTTGTCAAGCATGACAGTGCCATGTAGGCTCTCCATTCTGGTGGGTGAAGGCCCGCCACCGATCGGCAGCGACGATGAGTCGGAGGAGCAGGCCATGGTCAACACACCCAGTCAAGCAAGGGACTGCAGGTTTTGCAGGTCAGGTTGCGAGCAGAGTCGGGGAACAGCTTTCCCCGGTTTCCTGAGTCAGGCTCTTAAAGACTTGCGATTTCGAGCACCAGTCTGGGGGTAGCTGCAAAGTTCAGTAAAAGCTTCGACACAGAGAAGGTGCATGGCTCACTTCTGTGGGTTGGCCAAGAAGAACAAACTGGGCCGTCAATGAAATGGGTCTGTCAGTGTAGTTCGGGCATGGGAGCGAAATATCCACAAATTGTCATAAACAATCCATAATGCCTTTTTGAAGCGATGGTGGACCCCTCAACAGGGCAAGTTTTTTCTTCTTCTCCGGGCGGCAAACGCCAGACGGAAACGAAAGCGCAACAAAATAATTTTGTACCCCAAGGGAACTTAGAGCACCGTGACAACGACTCCATTCTCCATTTGAGGAAACCATCACCATGGCCTCCAGATTCGGAGTTTTGGCCACTACTCATTGCAAATGGCCAGGCAGCTGTTTGCTTCCCCAGTGGTCCCAGCATCAGCACTTGTGCAAGCAGACGCGAGGAGCATCGGGAGTCGGGTTTCAAGTTGTGTCTTTGTTTGGGAACCGTCTGAGACCACAAGGAATCCTCCTTTTTGGGGGGCCTCATTATGAAACAAACCGGAACAGCAAGGGTCACAAGTCCATCCATCAAGTGGCTTCAGGAGGCAGCTCCGGTGTGCCTTGGCATGGAGATAGATTCCGGGAAGGTCCGACCCGGGGCTTTCCTTTGGGACCATCTATTTTTCAAAGGTTCAGAGACAAGCAGCCAAGCAAGTTCCTGCGAGGTCTGTTTGCGAGACAGCGCTTCCGCCTTTGGCAGCGTTGTCGCCGCGCTCGAAGCTGTGGGAAGAGCTGAGGCTGAAGAGGGCTAGTCGTCCATCAGATACACGGCCCATTGAGGTGGTCGTGTTCTGGGAGGCTCACAAGTAGTTGGAGGGTGATGTTTTTCAAATCCCTAAAGGGTTATTTGAGATTGAGGGTTCTCACGGCGCAGGTGACTCAGCAGTTCAAGCTTTGGGTGTGCGCATTGCTTGTTGTGGTCTTAGGGAATCCACAATTTGTTGTTTGAGGTGGTTTGGGTATTTGAATTCCTTATTTGCAGTCAATTGGGGGCCACCCAACTTTCAAAATGCAAAGCCGAACCACTCATTCTGGGTAAGCTCATATGTGGAGACATCTCTCTTTGCTCAAAGCGCCAGGGTTGCCAAAGAAGACGAGCGTCGCCTTCGGGCTGCTTATGAGGCGCCTTTCCGCAACGGAGGGAACGGGCCATTTCCGAAACTGGCATGGAGGGGGAAGCATTGAAGCACCTGAGCAATAGGCTAAACTCTCCGTTACTTCTTTATGCATTCGGGCGATTTAGCGTGAGGAAATCTATCGAAACCTTGTAGAACGATATAGGGAACCCCCAAAAACGATAAAACATGCTTTCATGATGTGTCAGACGATGCTTGGAGCGTCTCGCGTTTGGCAGCTTTTTTTTGTGGCCCAGAATCCCAGCCATCATGTCTGCGCCTCCTGACACGCCCAGCATATGTGAGATCGGGCTCTGCGGCCACGCACTGCTGTTTGTTCCGCGAACTTTGGCAAAAACATACCTGCCCAAAACGATAACCGAAACGATAACGAAACGATGAGCAGTTCATTCGGAAAATCGTCTTTGTGAGCAGTTGCCCACAACGGTAGACTCGTGCGCACAGTTTCGATGTCTCCGTGCTGTGTGCATTCGTAGTGCGCCATGAGTGATGAGGAGGCTCTCAAGCGTTTGCGAAAGGAGGTTTTCAAGGACTCCGATCTGCCTGGAAGCAGTGCCATCTGGAAACTCACGCTTTCCCGTACGCATCTCCAACTGCATCTTCAGAAGCTCGCTCGAAATCAACTGCTTTGCTTTAGAGAAACAGTTCTGCTTTGCGTTTGTGCGTTTGCTTCGTTGTTTTTTGGTAAGCCTCGCGCAGGTAACAGCGCTATCAGACAGCATGCTCCGTACCAGATCGTCGAGCGCAAGTTGGAAGCAGAGCAACTACAGTGGAAGCGCGGCTTTTGGCCAGATCCCACGTGGAGAAAACCAACGGTTGCTCTAAATCAAACGAATGAAATCATGAGGAAGCACCATGCCCAGCTGCGCATGTTTCGCGGCACCTTGAAAAGCACTAACTCCTGACTTTCGACCAAATGGTCACTCGCGATGAAGCCCACTTGGTCAAGGCAAATGCCCAGAGTAGGCGGAAACATGCAGCTGGCTGCTTTGTCTGCTGACCCAATGGAAGAGTCTGAAGCAGAGCTGTGAAGCCAATGTGCCGTGACAATAAAACGCCAGTGCGCGCTCTCCATATGCCAGAAACCTGCAAAACGATATAGGGAACCCCCAAACACGATAAGAATGAGTCCTAAATCACTTCTGTGCATTTAAGTTTTGCCGCTCGCTCACCTAAACTCTGCCTGTCCGCTGATGAGAAAAACAATGTCCAAAGTGCGGTGAGTTTCGGCAACGGCTCCTTTGGCAACTTCCTTTTGGGTCTGCTGATTTGGACCACGTGATCCCCGGGCAACCGTGAGACAAAGTGGTGGCTGCAACGGGGACCCCCCGGTTCCTGGCTGTTTTTACGGGAGCCCTGGCCTTTGCTGGTTTTCTTTCTTCCGATTTGAAATTTTTGCTCCCCTTTCACAAACTGCATGATCAATTTCGGCAGTTTTCCCCAATCTGGGTGTTTCTCAAAGTTAGGGACACCTTCGACAAGGAATTCCCAATTTTCAGACATACCCATATGAGGAGCTGACAATAATGTTTCTTTTCTGCTGTTGATTTTTGGGGAGGACATTGGGGGGTGCCCAGCAACTGCGAAAACTGGGGGTGAACTACTTTTCCATGTCAGTATGACTGGCCTCCAAATGGTGGTGAGGAACCCCCCCAAGAAAGTGGTATACAGAACTTCTCAAGTTTCAACAGTCGTAGCTCTTTGAAAGGCCCCCCCCCCCTCTCCCACTGCTTCGATTAGGGCGTTCCATTTTCTTGAGGCGGAGGTGGCGCGGGGCGCGGACTTGCGTGCCTCGCTGGAAGTGCAGG